TTGGCATTTTCACTTTTATTCAGGAACATTTCAAGCATGCCCCCCCCCATGACAAACAAGCTATTGGATAGTTAAAGTGGAATTTGTAATATAATAATATGGAAGAAAAAAAAAAAACCCCTCCGCATTTTTCTGTAACTCAGATGCATTCGTTAGGGGCAGAGATTAGTAACAGAGAGCTGTATGTGTATAGACTATTCTGTCACAAAATGCGGCGAAAATCCTACACGGCAGTAATAGTTAGATTAAGGTATTTACATGTTTACATTCAGAGAGCAACATATACAGCGGATCTTTCAGCCCATAATATTGTAGTTACATTAATGTATTGTAAACTTAGTGACTAAATCATTTTGACTAAGGTACTAAGGTACTTTAAAAACTAAAAGAGTACTGCTGATGATACCAACTAACTTTGGCATCTGAATAAACATAAACAAAGACACTAATCACACACTTACCAAATCCGTAGACAAAGGACAATCAACACCAACTGGAACTGCTTCTTTTTCATAAAGGAGATGAGTGGCAAATCTGGATTTCAACATGTCCAGATGCGAAAAGCTCTTAGGTAAAAAAATTTCCTTACAAATGTATTTTTGTCGCATGTTAGCAGACCACTATAATCCACATGTAAGTCCAGCTGTGCTCTCAAAGCGGGGAATTGAAAACAAAACCTTTGTTGCAGCACATTAATAAACGCAACACTGCTGACCCATGTCTCATAACAATTCTTCTTCCTCCACTTGTTTTTATTAGGGTTGGCAACACAACATGGCGTCTCTCTGCCGTCTGAACATTGTATCAAGTAAAAACAGTCTTCGAAGCTATCATGTATATCATTAATGAAGTTCACAATAGAGCGCGTTGATTGGTGCAAACCAAGTCTATCTCTTGAATTACTGATGAAAACTGAAAGACGTCATGTTGTACCCACCGGTAGAGACATCCTGTCTCCACACTGGAATTTACACAAGGATCTAATTGCCTTGAGGGCGATTCTTTTTAAACTAGAAGAACAAATTTTCCCAGAACAACAAAAAAACAACCAATTTTCTCTTTTTGTGAAATATATGTGTCTTAATAGTGTTTTTAGCAACGTGTGACACATATATGAATGTCAACATCTCAAAAAATGTGTTTTAGTGTTTCGTGACTCTTTAAATCCTTTAATTATCATTCAGCAAACATGTAATATAAGTATAAAACTGGATAGTTTAAGAAATAGCATATGGATATGGTTAAATAATGCTATAAACACTTTAAAACCCATCTAGACCAGTAAATTCCCAAAAATTGTTCAGTTTTTAAGCCTATAGAGCATGACGAAACTGCATGGTTGGCAATCATAGTAGCAGTCAGTAGGTTTGTGTTTTAGGTATTCACTATTTTTGATCAATTTAATATGACAGCAACAAACCTGACAACAGATGTGTTGTGGTTTTTGAGCTCCTATTACCATTTCCACTTGTTACAGCCATCTGTGGGCTTGTTGTTGAGGTTTGCCTCATAAATCAATCAAGTTTATTAGAGTTATTAAAGTGGTCAGATGCAGATAATGATTTACTAGTACTAGTCTCTATATGAGTATTTGGATTTTCCTCAGTTTGTAATGGACTTGTTCCTTTTTGCTGATTTTCCACCAAGATCTGGCAACAGAATGCCATTGTATTTTAAATGAATAGCCAAAATACTTTTAGTCGGAAAAACGGATGATGTCTAAACATACCCTGAACAAAAGAATTTGTCAAGCCATGATTTCAGTCTCAATTAAATTCTGAATCACCCACAACCTTCCACATCTTAAGTTCAAGAGATCCCAATTACATCAGAATCTGTACACAGGCATCCCATTTTATTAATTGCAGCCGAAATGCTTTTTATGAAACTAATTTGCAGAAATATCACCGGAGAAAAAGAGGAAAGACCAGAGAGCGGTGAGGGAGGTAAAACACACACGTTGCAGAGTATGGAGACCTCCGCTGAGTTGTGCTTACATCCTGAAAATCCCCACAGCCTTAGAACACTCCTAAGTGAACACGCTCGGCTCCGCACACCCACCTCTCATTCATATTTAATACAGCATAATAACTCACTGCTCCAGTGACTCAACACAAGTGTGATCTGGGTCCCTCCGGGTTCCCCATGCTGCTGTTCTGACACTACACTCCTTCATCTCATTAGGAAATAAAAGGATTGCACTTGGATAAGATCAGATAGCTTTGGAAGGTATACCCTACTTAGACAAAATACAGATGAGCATATAAAAAAAGACTGGGCTGGATGTGTGATGTCTACCAGGTCTCTTGTGCACTCGTGTTCATTATTTCAAATGGAGATGGTGCGGCACTGAGCCAATAGTGTAGCGAGTTAAAAAACATATTAATTCCATACATATTAACATATTAATCAAAATACCAAGGTGCACTGCATGTCATGTGACAAGAATCAACCAATCAGCTTCACATATTGTATGGATTATACACATTTTTATTAATAACGATAGACTAACTCACTCAGACAAGCACAAACCAGCCAAACACTATAGCAATTGTTATAAATTCTATTAATGGAAAAACAGATCAGACCTACATAAACAGTTCTTAAGTGGCTCCTTGGAAAGCACAACCAATGGTTGCTTAAAGATGGTGAAGAAAGTACAGTCTTCCACACAGGTTTATGATGGTTTTAATCCAAAACCAAAATATATGGCGTTATTTCAATGATAAATGTCGTGAGCAAATTACAAGTCAAGAGCACATTTATATAATACAAGTAGGGGTGTAACGGATCATGGTTGATCCTTTATTCATACAGATCACAAAACCTCGGTTCAGAACACAAGTGACACACAATATAATACATTTTTTACTAGTGGATTAATCCTAAATTTGTAACAAATTGCAGAGAGATTGCCTCTCGCTGCATTCAAATCACTTGTATGAAAGCATTTAGGCTCTCCTGTAAAATATAAAGATGAAGGAAGAAGTCGTGATAGGTTATTCGGGATGTGGTGGGTTTCTTAGTTTAATAAATGTGTTTAATGTCACTACTTGTTTAGCCTGCATTAATGCATCCAGTGTAGCTGCACATCATTAAAAGATCAGGATCTCAACAACAAAAATTATACATGATGGTGATTTTAATATGTTTATTAATGTTATAGTTTATAGTTCATAAAAAATAGTTCATAAAAACCACTGATGTTTATGGTTAATACTAAGATGACCATCATGTGCATTTACGATGCTCAAAAATAAAAGTTGTGGGCAGCAATTTTATCATTTAACCAATAGGTGGCGACAACCAGCCATTAAAAAATATGCACCTGAATAATTCTTTAAAAATGATACATCTGGCAATGAAACATGTATTAGTGAATAACTAAATCATTTAGTGAAAATTAGACTAAATATATATTTAACTATACAGTACATTTTGTACTAAATATACACTTTATACATTTAGAGCTATCAGCAACAGTAGTTGTAACAGTGAATCTTTCACACTACTGAATAATTTACAATTTATTTTTATTCAGCTGATTTTTTTCTTAATTTTATTTTTAACAAAGTTACAGCTTCTAAGTTCTGTTTGTTGAAACCAAAACTTTCTTGCGGTACTGTTTTTGTGAAAATGGAAAGCAAATTCTATTTGTCTCCACCCTTTTTGACTGATCCGAAAAATGGTCAAATCCGTGACTAAAAAAACTATATGTGATCCGAACCATGAGATTTGTGATCCGTTACACCACTAAATACGAGCATCTGAATCTTTTTGCTTATGCTCTGATTTCCTTTGTTTGTGCACAAAACTTTATGCGCGCTCTGAAATATAGGCTGCTCACAAGCAACACTTCAAATACACTATTTAGAAGGTGGGTCTTATTCAAATATACTCTGCCAATTGGCGAATACTCTGCTCCCACTAAGTGAGATGATGTGGACACATTATTTGTGCTTGTTGTTCATTCATCTGGTCCTTCATTTGTTTGTTTATATTTTTGTTCCTTCATTAGATTGTTTGTTTGTTTGTTCGTTCATTCATTTGTTCCTTTCTTCCTTCCTTCTTTCCATCCCTCCTTCATTCCTTCCTTTGTTTGTTCAGTCCTTCCTTGAATCTTTTCTTCATTTATTTGATCCTTCATTAGTTTCTTCCATCGTTCAGTTTTTTCTTCCCATTTTTCATTTGTTCCATTTAGTGATTGTTTAAGGCTGTTTGGTGATTTCAGTCATCATACAGTCGACATCCTTCATTTTCTCCTCAGTGAGATACGGTCTCTAAAAAGTCTGTGCAACATTGCGTGTAAAGATTTTGGACATCTTCTTGAACACTCTTAATGCTTCCAAAAGGTTTGCTGCATTTATAAAGCGCCTATGTATTGAGGTTGCTCAGTATGATGCAATTTACATTCTATGTGCGATTTGACTGGACAGGAAACAGAGGACTGATTTTTCTACTTTAGTCAATCATTATATGCAAGAAAGAAATAAAGTTGTGACTGTAGGTTGAAGGAAAGCAGTGGAGTAAAAGTACCGATACTGCACTAAGAATGTACTCAAGGGAAAGTAAAAGTACACATTTATAAAACTACTTAGTAAAGTACAATTCCTGAGAAAAACTACTCAGTTACAGTATCTTGAGTATTTGTAATTTGTTACCACTGGAACTAGATTTGTTTTCTTTATATATGGATTTCACTGGTTGTTACCAACATATGCTGAAAATTCAAGTCAAAACAGCACCTTTCAAAAGTCAACAGCACCTTTAGAAATATGTTTTCTGAGAAAAATTGTGACCTGTTGAATATTTAGTTTCCCCATGCTGTATATCAGATGAAGATGTGACACAATAAATTAATTTAGACATGACTTTCAACCCCATTTTTCCACAATCAGATGCCACTTGTAATTATTTTAATGGACCAACTTTATATAACAAACAACTGTAATAAACCAAAACAATCTTCCAAATGTACAGCAAATAATTGAAGCAAATACCTTTCACAAGCAGGTTTCCTAAGCTGCTGGCTTCACCAAACTGGTTACGGGCGACACACGTGTACGATCCAGCATCAGATTTGCTGACATTGGATATCCGAAGGCTTCCACTCTCCAATACAGCAATCCTACAAAGCAAACATGTGATATTTACTCCAGAGTGCTTCTGTGACTTTAAGCCAGCAATCAGCAAAACCGTTTTATTTTTTGACAAGATAAAAGTACAACAGCATCGGGCTTTGTGGCTATTTAAGACTCAAGACATCTGGAGAGATTTTAAGGGTGATGCAAGACGTTCAAGACATTCTTACAGAGACCATTTCAGGAAAAAGAGTGCAATTTTGAGAGAGTTTTGAAGGTTTTTGCACATAGCTATGAATCTTTTGTCTTGTCAAACCCTTACCTTCAAGAAGTTGCTGTCAAAATGTTTTTTAGGAGGAATGAGGGAGTTGCTGAAATTTTGTATTTATGTTTTTCTTCCCCAAAAGATGTAGTTGGACAAGTTTTCATAAATATTTTCCATTTAAAACCCCCTATTATGCATTAAAAAAAGGTTATATTATGGTTTTGGTGGTCTCTAACAACAGTGTGATATGCATGCAAGGTAAAAAAAAAAAAACACTTTCATTTTTTTTATAATATGCATTTATTTTTACCTAATTATCCAAACGACTCTCATAAGATTCATCCAGCGATTCATTTGTTCCCAAACTCCTCCTTAGCACGTTGCTAATCTGCCCTGATCGGTCCGATGACCCAGTCTATTATGATTGGTCAACTGCGTTCAGTGCAAGAACTGCTCACCACGGCTTACCAACAACTTTGAAGTAGTCAGAGTGCAGAGTGTATGTGTGAACCCAATGCAGGAGTGCATTAAAGCAATGCAGTTTAACACCAGCATATTGCTCTATTCTTCACCAAAAGTAAAACAATGACACAAATTCAGTATTAATCCACACAATGGCAAAAGCTGAACTATTTTGAAACTTGACCGTCGCACATGTGTAGGAATAGCTGACAGTGGTCATAACAACGACAAATAATAGTAGATCGCGACCTCACGAACGCACATTTAAATCCGTAAACAACGCAGCATGTGTCGCATTTTCAACATTGTTTTAGACGCAAAATGAGAATATAAAGTGTTAACCAGAGACAGTACAAGCAGTTACAAGTAACAAAACACAATTAAATACATAATTTGCAAGCTAGAGAAAACAAGGAGGCAGCCATTTTAATCGCACTTACTTACACTTGTGAAATGGAGGAAGAAACTGATCTATGAGCTGTGTACTGTAAAGTTCCGTTCAAGCACTGACAAAGTCCCATACATCCATAGTCTTCTCTGATCCTTCTTTTAGCAAATGGCCAATGAATCCCCTATTGTAATCGTGTAGTTTGCTGAAGCACTTGTCAGAAAAATGACGGTGACACAGCACAAGGCTGGGGCTATAATGCTGAGGTATTTTTGCAAAAATAAACTTCAACCACTGACTCTTCACAGCCTCATCTTTGGGTAGGGAAAATAACGCTAACTTTCCCCTCACACTCCAGAGCACAGCGTCTACACGACATGATTTAGCCGTGATCAGTTACTGTGTTTGTCTTTCTCTTTTTCTTTCTACAGTGTTTGTGGGCGGGGCCCGGGTTTTCTTGGGTCTGCACGTGCAACAAATAAGTGGGGCTGGAGTTCCGTATCAATGTCACGCCAACACCAACATGGCTCAAGACTAGTTACTGTGGCAATTCATTCGAACTACAATGAGTCAACTCTTATATAGATGAATCAATAGTTTTAAACATGGTGCACTTTCGGGCGACGCAGAGGTGCAGTGGGTAGCACGTTCGCCTCACAGCAAGAAGGTCGCTGGGTCGCTGGTTCGATCCTCAGCTCAGTTGGCTTTTCTGTGTGGAGTTTGCATGTTCTCCCTGCGTTCGCGTGGGTTTCCTCCGGGTGCTCCGTTTTCCCGCACAGTCCAAAGACATGCGGTACAGGTGAATTGGGTAGGCTAAATTGTCCGTAGTGTATGAATGTGTGTGTGTATGTTTGGATGTTTCCCAGAGCTGGGTTGCGGCTGGAAGGGCATCCGCTGCTAAAAACTTGCTGGATAAGTTGGCGGTTCATTCCTCTGTGGCGACCCCAGATTAATAAAGGGACTAAGCCGACAAGAAAATGAATGAATGAATGAATGGTGCACCTTCAGATTTAAGCCTTAGCTGGATATTTCACTTCACTTAGAGCTGTGTTACACACTGGCCATTTTCAAAAACTCATAATAGAGGCTCTTTAAAAACAATACAATTTACTTTTAGGCTCAACTTTTCATTCTTAAATGGTTATCAAACCAATGCAAAATTGAACACCTGTTTTTTTATGTGGGTCAAAAGAAAAATCTGCTCAAAGTATTCAAATACAAAATGATATTTGCACAATACTGGCCTTTAAAAATGATAATGCATACACACATAAAAGGACTTAAAAAACACACATCCTCAAAGATAAAACGCATGATGCGGAGACCTTGAGGATGAAGGAGAAAAAAAAGGGAGGGCTTCATTAATTCATGATGGCATTCTAATTATTCTGCCCACGATACTCAAGAAGGAGTGAGTCATAAGCGAGTTATACACAATAATGTTATGAGTGTGCGTAAAGAAAGAGAAAACGAGAGAGGAAGAAAAAAAGGGGGGAAAAAACAACATGGTGCCCTATTATAGATGGTTCTATTTTGAAAAGCTGTGATAGCTTGGGGGAAGAGATGTTTAATTGGTGTGGACAAAACATTGAATATAAATAATCCATTTTGCACAAACTGTGGATTTCATTAATGACTCTGGGAGGACCCCCAATAAATAATATATTTCTAATTAACACAGCTGGAGTGTGTCAGTGATAATTTGGTGTACATATTGTAAAAGAGAGAAGGAAAACATGCTTAGCTTTCCACGCGCATTTGGCTATTAACATGTGTGTAAGCATGCACTCTCCATAGACAGACATTAACAGAATGTACTGTAGAGTGGTTTTTGATTGGATGGCAGGAGGGAATGTGTTTACCGAGTGTGAAGAAGTTTACTAGCCCGCACAAAGCCCAGACATGAACCCCTCTGAACACCTTTGGGATGAATTGGAACTTCAGTGCTTGACCTTAGTGCCAAAGAAAATCCCTACAGCCGTGTTCAAAACATCTAGCGGAAAGAAGCCCTCAGCATCTGTCACTCACTTTCACCTTACCGGAGAAATCACCAACAATCTTAAGTATAACATGCTGTATTTTGGTCATTTAACCGTATATTTAGTAAAACATTATTTACATATTCTGTCGGCATAGTATGTGATTTTATACACAAATCATGTATTTTAAATTAAAAAAAATTTAGTGTCTTCTTTAATGTCACACAATTTTTATTAAAATACAGTTTCAAAGAATGGAAAAAAAATATTATAAATTATTTGATGTAACATATTTATGTAAGGTGGTGCAGTGGGTAGCACAATCGCCTCACAGCAAGAAGGTCGCTGGTTCGAGCTTCGACTGGGTCAGTTGGCATTTTTGTGTGGAGTTTGCATGTTCTACCCGTGTTCATGTGGGTTTCCTCCAGTTGCTCTGGTTTCCCCCACAAGTCCAAGACATGCAGTACAGGTGAATTGGTTATGCTAAAATTGACCATAGTGTTTCAGTGTGTGTGTGTGTGTGTGTGTGTGTGTGTAAGTGAGTATGTATGGTAGTTTACCAGTGATGGGCTGCGGCTGGAAGGGCATCCGCGGCATAAAACATATGCTGGATAAGTTGGCGGTTCATTCTGCTGTGGCGATCCCAGATTAATAAAGCTACTAATCCGAAAAAAAATGAATTGAATTCATTTTTTTACAACAGTTCAAAATTATGTAAACAATTTAGAGCATGTTTTTTTCCAACTTACTCATAAAAATACCTATTAAAAAATCAAAAAACAAACAAACAAGTTAGATAAATTTAAATCTATCTAATTTAGTTGATAGATAGATAGATAGATAGATAGATAGATAGATAGATAGATAGATAGATAGATAGATAGATAGATAGATAGATAGATAGATAGATAGATAGATAGATAGATAGATAGATAGATAGATAGATAGATAGATAGATAGATAATTGGATTGATTGATGAATAGATACAGCAGATAAATAGATGGATGGATGGATGGATGGATGGATGGATGGATGGATGGATGGATGGATGGATGGATGGATGGATGAATGGATGGATGGATAGACAGACAGACAGAAAGACGGACGGATGGATGGGTGGATGGATGGATAAATAGATATATGGATGGATGGATGGATGGATGAATGCATGGATGGATGGATACAGCAGATAGATAGATGGATAGATGTATGTATGTATGGATGGATGGATGTATACGACGGATGACTGGATGGATGGACAGACAGAAGGACATACAGACAGACAGACAGACAGATATATATAAATAGATACAGTAGATAGATAGATAGATAGATATATAGATAGATAGATAGATAGATAGATAGATAGATAGATAGATAGATAGATAGATAGATAGATAGATAGATAGATAGATGGATATAGATGAATGGATTGATTGATGAATAGATACAGCAGATAAATAGATGGATGGATGGATAGATGGATGGATGGATAGATGCATAGATGGATGGATGGATAGATGGATAGATAGAAAAACAGATAGATGGACAGACAGACGGACGGATGGATACTGCAGATAGATAGATAGATAGATAGATAGATGGATGCATGGATGGATGGATGGATGGATGGATGGATGGATGGATGGATGGATGGATGGAAGGACGGACAGACAGACGGATGGATGGATGGATACTACTGTAGATGGATGGATGAATGAATGGATGGATAGGCATGTCATTATATTAACCTCTTTAAGTAGTCTCACAGTCTAAACTTTAGAATGATAGTTCATACACTATGCATACAGACAGGGATTTGCAAAACAATTTCAGGTCACAACAAAGCAGGTTAAATACAGTTTATCAATGATAGTAGTGAAGTTTTCCCCTTCTTTCCCTTCTCTCTCTCTCTCTCTCTCTCTTACTCCTCCATTATATGCACCTTACCT